CGGAGCCATCTCCCCATCCCATCCTATCTCATCCTTCTGAGTCATGTCAGGGAATACGAAGCTCTTGAACCGTAGAATTTGGGATATGGATTTTAGATTGAGATGTTCACTCAACTTTTATGTTTCAAAGTAAATGTGTTCAGTCCCTGAAATGAGCAGTTTCTACTATTTTAAAGACATACATAAATATGAGATGCTTTTCATCTTCTGAAAGATGGCATCCCCTTCCATCTGACACTTGTCAATGTCTCATTCTACACTGTTGTACTTAAAGAACAGCAAAACAGTTAGTGGAGGAAACTCTGCTTGAAATAACCTAGAATAGGTACAGTTTTAATTAGGAAAAAAATTCCATTGGAGAAGACATTGAAAAGGAGGCAAAGGGTGATGCTGCCATCATAAGTCACATTCCGGAAGCACACGCTACTCACAGACTCTGATGTTGAAAAGTTACTGTCTATTAATTATATAACTTAGTTCCTCTTCACTATCTTTTTGAGACTGGGTTTGATAGTCTGGCTGGCCTCAGACTCCCTTTGTAGTTGAAGATGACCTTGCACTCTGAACTTTCTGCCTCTGTGTACACGCATCAAGTACTAGGATTAAGAGCACTCACCACCAGGCTGAGCTAAAGATGACTTTAGAAGGTGGTACTGTGTCAGCTGTGGTGGGTCTTGAATGGGTACTCAAAGTACTGGGGAGGCTGAGGCAATAGGATTGCTGTGAGTTCAAAACCAGCTACAGTAAGTTCCAGTCTAGTTTGAGTTACTGCAAGATTCTTAGTACAGACAGACAATGATAGATCATGCTGGTTAAAAATGCAGTATCTGAATTTAATCACAAGGGACATCAAAGCAACCTAAACTGACAGACACTGTACAAAATAACTGGGTAGCACAAAAGACAAAGACAGACTGAGGAACAATCCTTGATTATAGGAGACCAAGGAGCCACGGCTGCTAACTGCTTCCCGGTCCTGAATATTATCCAGCATTCTTTCCTTCCTTCCTCTTCAGACAGGGAGGCCTGTCTGGCTGGCCTGGCTTTTAACTCAGAGTTCTGCCCTGTCGCTGCCGCTGAGTGTCAGCAGTAAACACGTGTCTGTGACACCACGTCTGGCTTAATTGACGGTTGCAAATTTTTTACTACTTCCAAAGCATTTAGCAGGGTCAGCTTCTTAACTCAGCCACACACATAAAACACGGCCCTGGTTTGGTTTTCGGTCAACGTGACAGAAGCTACAGTTATCTGAGAAGAGGGAACAGTTGAGAAAATGCCACGGTAAAACCGACCTGTAGAAAAGTCTGGGGGGGGGGCATTTTCTTCATCACTGTCCGATATGGAAGGGTCCAGCCACCGTGAGTGGTGCCACCCCTGGCAGGTAGTCCCGTTGTGTATAAGAAAGCAAGCTGAGCAAACCATGGCAAACAAGCCAGTTCCTGACTTGATGTCCTGCCCTGATTTCCCTGGGTGGAGAGTGGCCTAGAAGTGTAAACTGAAATAAATCCTTTCTTCAATACGCCGCTTTTGGTTATGCTTTGTTTTTGTTTTTAAATCACATCAGTAGAGACCCTAAGACAGAAACTGGTACAAGGTTCACGGGGTATTGCTGGGACGGACCCGACCATGCTCGGGGGGAGAGCTGTGGAAGAACCTCAGAGCCCCTGAGCCTTCCCGGCTTTGTGAGCGGGGAAGACAAGAATCCTGAGAGAAATGTAAATGACAGAGGCCTGGTTTGTGAAGTTTCAGAAGAAGGTCTGAAAGTACTTGAGACTCTTACCAGGGCCATTTGATATTAAATTAATAATCTGTGGTTCTAGTCAGCAGGGGCAGAAGGATCGGGCTGTGACTAACAGGCCAGAACCACTAAAGTGAAACTTTGCTTTGTGGGCTAATCGATACTGGTCGGTTGGCTGGTGGTGAAGAATTGGCTGGGGTTCTCAGAGACCAGCATCACTGAGGGGAAATCTTTGGGTAGTGTTTCCCTGGGTCAGCACTCAGAATCTGAGGTCCAGAGGGGGCCATGATTGTTCCTGTATTAGCAGCTGGATATGTAATATTTCCCAGGTGTGCTGGCTTTAAAGGCATGAGGGGGCCATGGGGAAAAGGTGAGGCTTGGCATCACGTGGAAGGATCAGAGCTCCTGAGGGGATCCCAGGAGAGGTTATCAGTGAAGGTAGCCCAGCTGCCAGAGAGACTCAGAATCTGAGATGTCAGTACCGTGGACCGGATCACCAACGATAGCAGTGCGCGAAGAGGAACCACAGCTGTGGAGTGGCATCGATTTGAGCCGTGCACACAAGCTGTGTGCTGCAGAGGATGGAGCTGGAGAAGTGGCTCAGGCCCTTCGCAGCCCAGAGAACAGGGAGTGGGCCCGAGGGATCAGACGCTGTAGTTTTTATCTACTGGACTTTGGTCTTTCTTTGATTTGGTTGTGACTGTGACCTGGTTCTTCATTCTTGGAATAAGAAGGTATTTAACCTATCTTTTTTCTTTTGTTTTGTTTTATAAGAGTCCAGAGTTGAGACATTGTATATTTTATTTATATGTCTTAATGATTTTATGAGTACCTGTTTTGTCTGCATGTCTATCTATGTATCTTGTATAGGCCATGTGCCCACCTGGTACCTGAGAAGGCAGGAGGGAGTCAGAACCCAGTAACTGGAGTTATAGATGGTTGTGAACCACCACGTGGGCTCTGATTACTAAGCCTGGGTCATCTGTAAGGATGGCCTTGAACTCCTGTCCTCCAGCCTCCACCTCCCAGGTACTGGGATTACACACCTGTGCTGCCCTACCACCCATCCCCCGACTCACAGACTTTGTTTACATCACTGGTTCTCAATCTGTGAGTCACGACCCACTAGCGGTTGAATGACCCTTTCATAGGGGTCACCTAAGACCATTGGAAAATACAGATATTTACTTGTTATTCGTATCGATAGCAAAATTACATTTACGAAGTAGGACCAAAATAATTTTATGGTTGGGGGTCTCCACAGCATGAGGAACTGAGTTAAAGGTCGCAGCGTTAGGAAGGTTGAGAATCCCTGCTTTGGATGATGGAAGAACTGGTGCAGCCATATCTGATGGGAGTGACAAAAGTCATAAAGCTGCACAGCTGCTTGACAAAGACCCAGCAAAGCGGAGCCACATGATGGCCGCCACACCACCACTGGTTTTCCTCTCCACTTGTTGCATACTTGGGAGAGTTTCAATATTTGTACAATTTGAAAATATTGGATTGATGGAAATTTTCTTATGAATCGTTTTTGACTTCTCCCAGGAATGCTGCTTCTAAGCTTCCCCAGGACAGGGCAGTCCTGAGCATACTATTTCCCTCACTGTAGGGAGATATCCTTATCTACTTGAAGTTCTTCCTTATGCATTGGAGGTTGGGACACACATAAAGAAGCCAGAGGTCACTTTATGAGGCTATGAGATGTTTTTGAAACATCTGTTCCTGTAGTTACTCGGGAACAAGATCATCAAAACAAAATAAACTTTAAAAGGTCAACAAGATTCGGTGGGTTAGAGGAGTTGACCACAGTTTAGATTACAAGCCTCTTCCCACTATACTCAACTATGTGGTATATACAGCAACAAAGTCAGATTAGCTTATAAGTCTCAGTATAAGTCTCTGCTTAGGACAAGAATTCAGTCAGGCAGTGATGGCACACGCCTTTAAACCCATCACTCGGGAGGCAGAAGCAGAGAATCCCCGTGACTTCGATGTCAATCTAGTCAGTCTACAAAGTGAATTCCAGGACAGCCAGAGCTGTTACATAGAGAAACCCTATCTCCAAAAGAAGAAGAAGAGGAGGATGAGGAAGAGGAGGAGAAGAAGAAGATAGAAGAAGAAGATAGTAGAAGAAGAAGAAGAGGTGGAGGAAGAGGAGGAGGAGGAAGAAGAGGAAGTAGTAGTAGTAGTAGTAGTTAAGAATCAAAAAATGTAGATGACAGATTTGGTCTTTGGTCAAGAGTTTTGTCTTTGGTTTCCAATGGTCTAACTCCAAGCTGTCTAGGGCTTACGTTCAAAAGGCCATCATGATAATGATGGTACTTTCCTGACAAGAGCAACTTAAAGGAGAAAGGTTTCTTTTGGTTCACAGTTCAAGGGAAGTTGGGCAGTAGGTGCTTGCGTGAGGCAGCTGGTCACATGGCATCCACAGTCCAGAAGGGGACAGTAACAAATGCTCTGGCTAGCTTTCTCTCTTTTTAGTCAGTATGTAGTTTGGGTGAGTCTTCCCACCTCAAGGAATTTTCATGCCCAGAAACTTGTCACCAAGGTGATTCTATATTCTGTCAATTAGCCATTGATAGTAACCAGCAAGACAATTAGCATCACAAGTATAAACAGAGTACCCATAGCACAAGAAACTGAATTTCAAAGGTTATTAGGGAAATTCCCATTGCACTGTTGTCCTTTCTCCTGAAAACTGACTTCTGTCTTACCCACAAATCCATCCCTTCACTTCACACATCTCTGCACTAGTGTTCCCCATATTGAAGAGCCTGCCTGACCACTCTACTGAAATGACCATAAAACAGGCTGTGTAGGATTCCGTCTCTTTCTTCCTCACCACCTGTCATGTTATAAACACAGTCGTCTTTTCCCAGGGAGCATCTTCATGAGAAGAATGTTGTTTGTTCACTGAATATAACCCAGTTCGTCATAGAACGTGCGAGTCCCAGCCACTATTCAATAAGCGCGGGCCAAATTAATGAAGGTATGTGTTAGCTGAATGCCACATTTCCGATTCTGTTTCCAGTAAGACAGAGATTCGAGCTAATCTTCTGAGACACATGAAGTAGACATTTAGTATCTCCTTCTGCCTCAGTTTATGAAGCAAGAGGATCTATGTTACCCCGCAGAGTTTACACAAAGCAAGTTTTGTCTCCCCTCTTGCAGGTTGTCTGCGCTGCTCACCAACACACTGCTTGCCTTTCTCTGGCCTCAGTTTTTCCAGGCTTACAGAGCCCCACCCCTCTTTCCTTACCGTACTGATCTGTGGGGCTGGTGAAGAGAAGGTAGTCGGAAGTGCAGGTTTTGGACTCAATGTTCAAATCTCCCAACCTCAGAATGAGTCTCTTCCCCTTCGGGACCATGATGGTCCTTTCACACACAGTATGATTGGGATAAGTCCCCGGATAATTCTTAGATGTCATTGTGCCGCTGTCCTGAGAGGTCACTATGTGCCCACAGCCATCACCTGGTAACAAAGAAAGAATGAAAGAATTAAGTACAATCAATTGCTATCAAGACCAAGAGTCTTCTGCACTCTCCAAGGCAAGTGTTTCTTTTGTTTTCTCCCTGAGAGAAGGAAGGGCTAAACAATGAGAAGGAAAAGTGAATTATGTAGTTGCATCTCGCTTCAAGTTGTCTTTGGTTCCCAGCTTCACCTGCTGAACTGGGTGGGTCAAGTTTGTGCTCTGAATAAGAACGCACAGACCTTAGGAAACACGCCGCTTGCTCTCCTGGTCACCTATCTGTCTGCCATCTAAACTTGCTCAAAATGCCTTGGCCTTTGTCACATGTTTGTCAATCCACCTGAAAGCCAATGAATGATAATTTATAGCTAACTTCAGAGTGCTGCTGCTGAGTCAAAGAACACATACAAGATGCCCCTGACAGAGTTTAGACTAATACAGACAGGATTTTGTTTAGGTGCAAATCTCGTAGCTGAACAACTATTCCATATTCATGCCTCAATTACTGTGACAGTCACAGATCCAAAGACTCCGAATATCAGAAAATATCAAGGGTTTACTATGTGGAGTACTTGGAAGATGCTAGGCATGGTATTAACTACTAGGAAATCATACAAAACCAGCAAGGGCTGCTTCACAGAACCTGAGGCCCTCATTTGATAGCTAATTCTAAGTCAGTTGCTCTCAACTTTCCTAATGCTGCAATTCTTTAATACAATTCCTTGTGTCGTGGTGACCCCCAACCATTATTCTGTTCCCATTGCATAACTAATTTTGCTACTATTATGAATTGTAATGTAGATATCTGATATTCAGGATATCTGATATGTGACCCTCAGAGGGGTCATGACCACAGGTCAAGAACCACTGATCTAGGTGATATGTGTTGTATCAACAATCCTAAACACATTGGGCAGTAGTGGCACCTGCCTTTAGTCCCAGCACTCAGGAGGCAGAGGCAGGTGGATCTCTGTGAGGTTGAGGCCAGCCTAGTCTACAAAGTGAGTTTCAGGACAGCCAGTGCTGTTACAGAGAAAACCTGTCTCAAAACATCCCACCACCACCCAAAAAAAAAAAAATCCATAACACAACACTAAAGAGCATGAAGGAGAAAGGTATGAGAATATAATTTTGTGAATTTTATAAACAACTTGCTAAAAGAAGTTAGCTTTAGCTGATTTTGACTAGTGAAGCCCACCGATTAACCAACAGATTGCACCAGCTGATAAGTAACCAAATGAATAGCACAACACAGTTATCTAATGGCAGGTGAACCAAGCCAGCTGCAAGGTGAATGGATGACACCTGCATTTGGGCTGCATACCAGCTAAGGTTGGTGAGGCAGCATACATAGATGGAGCTCCGTTGGTAGAACTTGCCAGACATACAAGAAATGGATTCACTCCCCAACACCAAACTAAAAGAGAATAAACAAAAACCCAAACCAATTAAGGAAGGAAGACTCTTGTTGGCACCCAGGCCTTTTCCCCTTTCTTCAAGGCGCTATGCAGGGCTGTTTTTCTCCTAGCTTCCTGCCTTCTCTGCTCGCTGCACCAGCTTGTGGGATTAGCTTAGAGAGAGCTTTGTCCTCTTTTGATATGGTAATTCCACCTGCAAGCAAAGGTTCCCACCACGGCGCCTAAAAAGTCTTCTGACACCACAGCTACTGGCACCCCCTCCCCTCAGTCCTCAAGCCACTGGCACCAGGCGGCCAACACCATGATCTCACTTCCGGGTGGGAGGGGGCTCTCATCCTTCTGCCCCCAAGTATATATACCCGACATGTGCTTAATAAAGTTGACATTTACCCTTTGGGCAAATGATCTTGGTCTCTGTGTGTGTCTGTTTAACTCCTAGGATATTGATCCAGACTCGCGGTTTGGTTCGGGAAGCGCGCACCCATATCAGAAAGTGGGGTCTCAGGCAGCCAGAAGGAAGAAATTTGTAGGGAACCTGTAGGAACTCTCTGGGGCATTAAAACAAGAGTCTCCATGGCCTGGTGCTCTCCCACGGAGGACGCTCCCCCAGAATCTGGATGGCCCTTCATTCCTAAGCCTTTCCCCATCGAGGGTTCATTCAAATTCTTCCTTCATTCTAGATCTTCCCTGCTTGCTCCGCAGTTTCTGCCCCCAAGTCATTAAAAATGAAACACACTTTAAAGGCGCTGCATAACTCCAGAACCCACCCCGTCGGCAGCCAATGCTGGGGGCCAGGAAGGAGAGCCTGACCAGAAAAAGCAGGTTGGTGTTAGCGGAACAACAGGTAAAGCAGTGCCATAGGAAATGTCAGGCTGTTAAGGTAAAAACACCACCGAAACCTGGAGATTTAGGGAGAGAAGATGGCGGGTGCAGAACTTTCTGAGTATGGAGTTAATGAAAGAGCATGAGAAACCAAGTGCAGTAACACATACCTTGAATTCTAGCACACAGGATGCTGAGGCCAGAGGACCCTGAATTCAAGGACAACTTGAGCTACATAGTGAGTTCAAAGACAGTGTGGGCTCTATATCATGACCCTGACTTAAAACACAAAAACCAACAAGACAACAGGTATCATAAAAAGATGATTAGCCTAGCTGGATACTGCTCTGAGATTCAGAGTTGGGGACGAATCCCACAGATGAGGGCTGAGAGGAGGAAGCAAGAAGGAAACGCCTTGGGGTTTACACAGCTACACAGGAAAGATAAGAGGAGACAAAATATTGTATGTTTTGCGTCCAAGTTACTGGAAGGCTAAGGCTGATGCAGACAAGAAGGCAAATACAAGGCGTCACTTGGGGTTGGCAACTTTGGGGTAATAGCTAAATTCCCTCGGCCCTGCAGCAGTTACAAGTATAAAATTGATGGTTAGCCAAGGGAGAGGCAGATTACACAATGGCATATAGTAAATAGGGCTTTAGTTTAACATTTGAATTATTTGTTTGCTTTCTAAGGTTTTAGTAGAAAACTAAACTTATAATTTCTCCAGAAAACTAGATGTCATGTCAATCACATGAAGAGATATTCTCACAAGTCAAGAGAAATTATTCCTGCTTAACTAGGCAAGCACCCTAGATCTCTGCTACTCATTTTCATCCCTTCCCCTACCATTTGAACACCCAGAAAAATCAAAATCAGCCCTGTGTTAGCAAGTGTAAAAGCAACCAGACATAATGACCCACTCTACGTGCAGCTAAACCTCACAGCCACCAAAACGCAGTGTGGCCGGTCATTTGAATGTGCACTCTTTCAGCTGTGTGCGCTTCTTCTCTAACAAGATAGAAAAATGTTTAAAGATAGCACAGAGCTGGTAAGAAGGTTATTGACTCTTCAAAGTTGTCTGTCATACACACACACACACACACACACACACACACACACGAGAGAGAGAGAGAGAGAGAGAGAGAGAGAGAGAGAGAGATGGATGGGGTGACTTCATACACACATCAATTATTTTTAAGAAAACACAACTGGAGGGCGTGATGACACCTACAGCTTGGCATCCTAGAAACAAAGGCAGAAGATCAGGAGTTCAAAGCCAGCTTGAACTATGCAGTATATAAAATGAAGAACCAGCTGGGTATGTCTCACACCTATCATCCCAACAGTAGAGGCAGATGCAGGAAGGTTTATGCAAATTCAAGGTCAACCATGTCTACGTAGTTAATTCTGGGCCAACCAGGGCTATATAGAAAGACCCTATTTAAAATTAATGAATTAAAAATAAGATGGGAACAGTTCTATGAATCAACCTCAACATGACTGTTATATTCAACAATTTCATCTTTTAAAGAGTGGTGACAATACGACAATGAAAATCTCCCAGGGAATCATTTTTATTGAAAGCCCTAATTTTACTTCCTTCCAGTCATTTATGCTCTTAAGCCCAAGGGGAACTCTGTCACCCAGTGGTGCTGCAAACAGGCCACACCACTAGACACTGCACCCCATCATTGCTGTGTGAGGGACCTGGGCTCCTTGGGAAGATGACCCTTCTCACTCTCAGGATGAATGTCTGCATCACAGAAGAAGTGTGGCTTCACTAAAATGCTAGGAAGGCTGAGGGGGGAGGCGCTGCACTCTTTCTCTGGCATCTGAAAGTAGGCTGAAGGATTTGCCGCTGCAAAAGCTGCTATCAGCTTATCTGCGCTAAGTCAGCAAATTCATCCATTGTCTTTGGGCAGTTTTGCTGACTTCAAATGGCTAAGTAGCGATACGCCAGGAGAAAATGGAATGGAACCGCGAGAGAAAATGGCGACACTATCGTATGCTAAGTGAGACAAGCCTGCAGAACAACAGTGGAAAGAAAGGCAGGAGTCCCCTGGCTTCATCCTGACACTCACTGCCAGTTCCTCTTGCTGAGTCACAGACAAGAAGGCAGAGTTGTTAAAAAAAAAAAAAAAAAAAAAAAAACAATTTGCCAAACAGTGATGGCACATGTCTTTAATCCCAGCACTTGGGTGGCAGAGGCAGGTGGATCTCTGAGTTCGAAGCCAGCCTGGTCTACAAAGCTCCTAGACGGCCAGAGATCTTATACAGAGAAAACCTGTCTTGAAAACAAACAAACAAACAAAAACCTATCAATTTAGCCAGGCATGGGTAGGTAACCTAGTTGGGGCGGG